ATTGGCCTTGTGTGCTGCGACTTTGTCTTCCAAGTCAGAAGACAAATGGGGGCCCCCAAATAGGGATGGCCAGGCATCTGGCCCTGAGCTCTTGGGAGACATCTGCCTAACTATGACCATAATATTTTCAACTTGCTCTCCTGCAGTTTTTATAAATTGTCCTACTAGTTCCATGCCATTCCTTAGAAAACATTCCTTGACCGCTGTTCTTCCTGGCATAAGTCAGCAACTGTCTACGCGCTGTCAGAACTATTCCTCCTTCCATTGCCCTGAACAAGAAAGCTTATGTTATCCTGTTAGGGTAACAAAGTGGCCCAAAGACATTCGGATAAATTAGCTTAGCTATGAATTATTTCAGCATTCCGTTAACACACCAGAATCTCACATTGCTGTAGATGTATTCCCTTTTTATTCAAATAATACCCAGTGATCCTGCTAAGCAGATCCTAGTACAGGCAATCCTGGTCGTAGGGTGACAATGCTCTGTTCCTATCTCCTAGTAGTTCTCCTGCTTTGTAACTCAGGCTCTCATGGAAGAATGCAAGTGTCCCTTTGAACACACAATATGCAGGCACTGTTCACACATGCCACCATTAGGAAACCCACCCTGAGAAATGCCATGCAGACATTACTGTGGTGTATGTAGAGATAAAGTGGCAGCAGAGAGGCTGCAGGAGATCAGCATCAATGAGAGGCAACAAAGGATAGAAAAAAAAACCACATTTGATTAAAAAACAAACCTGACAATCCTTTATGATAATTAATTTATACCAAACATAAGTAACTTATATAACTTTATTTATACCAAACAATAGTATTAATGGTTGGTAAAGTTTTAGTGAATATCTAAACTGGCAGTTTGAGTATTCACTTAGATGTAGCAACCATGAATGGAAAAAACATTATATTAAAAAAACAAGCATAGCAGTAGTTTGTGAAAATTCATTTATGCCAAACAATCAGTAACCATTCATGGTTGTCACATCTAGAGCTGGCCATAAACTTCACGATTCACTAAAGAGCATGGTTGGAGAAATCTCCCCTGCCAGCTATTGTATTCTGGCAACCGCCACCCTCGGCTGTCAATACTCGAACAGTGACAGCAGCTGATTGGCTGCAGTCGCTGTTTGACAATTTCCCTTTCTCCCCTGGCTGCTTTGATAAAAGTCAACTTTTGTTGAACTGGGTAGTGCCAGCAGGGCTACCTATGGATCGGATTTTGGCTGAGTCAGCAGTAATATAATGAAATTCAATCTATGTATGACCACCAGTTTGAGTATTCACTTCTATGTAGCGACCATGCATCGTTACCTTTTTTTTGTATAACTGCATTGTTGCAGTTTTGTATAACTGATTGCTTTTCACTCACCTCATAGTTCTAGCCGACCTGTGACAATGAGACTGTCACAGCTCGGCTCAGTAGATCGGGAGGTGAGCGAACATATACCGGCGTTCGCTCACCTCTTGATCCTGTCACGGCTCTCTCCCGTGACAGGGGAGGGGCTGGATTTCTCCCTCCCCGCTCCGCCAGCGCTGACTGGCGGATCGGGCGGGGGAGGGGGCGGGTACAGCTGGCTCTGCCTCTAGGTAGGCAGAGCCAGCTGTCACTCACGCAGCTGGGCGGATCTCAACATCGATGTCGGGATCCGCTCCGGCTGCGGCGTCTCAGTATACCGCGAGCTCTAGCTCGCGGTATACTGAGCTTAGGGTAACGGTAGGACGCTAGTTTGTGTCCTCCCGTTACCCTAAGGAGAACTTATGGATCGGATTTTGGCTGAGTCAGCAGTAATATAATGAAATTCAATCTATGTATGACCACCAGTTTGAGTATTCACTTCTATGTAGCGACCATGCATCGTTACCTTTTTTTTGTATAACTGCATTGTTGCAGTTTTGTATAACTGATTGCTTTTCACTCACCTCATAGTTCTAGCCGACCTGTGACAATGAGACTGTCACAGCTCGGCTCAGTAGATCGGGAGGTGAGCGAACATATACCGGCGTTCGCTCACCTCTTGATCCTGTCACGGCTCTCTCCCGTGACAGGGGAGGGGCTGGATTTCTCCCTCCCCGCTCCGCCAGCGCTGACTGGCGGATCGGGCGGGGGAGGGGGCGGGTACAGCTGGCTCTGCCTCTAGGTAGGCAGAGCCAGCTGTCACTCACGCAGCTGGGCGGATCTCAACATCGATGTCGGGATCCGCTCCGGCTGCGGCGTCTCAGTATACCGCGAGCTCTAGCTCGCGGTATACTGAGCTTAGGGTAACGGTAGGACGCTAGTTTGTGTCCTCCCGTTACCCTAAGGAGAACTATGGGGAAAAGCCCTGACCCCATAGTTCTCCTTTAACTAGAGCTGATCTAAAGCTGGCTGTCAAAATACCTGAACAATCTGATTGGATGCAGGCATTGTTCGGGCATTTAGAGAGCCAGCGGGGCCGACTAGCAAGATACTGAAGCTTGGCCCAGCGGGAGATTCCTCCATCCACACAGTTTAGCATAGATGGAGGAATCTGTTGCACTTTTTCCATCTGACCATAGAAAGTCTGCAGATAATCTAATAAGTGTAATGACCAGTAATAAGTGTATGACCAGCTTAAGATGTGTTGTACTCTAAGATGTGATGTACACTTCAGATGGGTTGTGGCTGCACTGGCCGTTTTTTTTCCAGCACAGCTCCAACACACAGACAAGGCGACTTTGCTATGTTTTTAATCAGCTCAGTGGTGAGCACTAGAAAAGGTACTGCATGCTGTGCTTTTTTTCAGCACAGCATGGTGTATCATGATAGAACCGCAGTGCAGCACACTGTGCCAGCAGAACTTAATGGATTGTCACTCATGACAGAAAAAGTATTTGGATCGACGCAGCAGCACTGCACCTTTGAACGCACACTAGCGGCCGTGCATTCAGCTCAGCACGGCATGCTGTTGTGAACGTGCTTTAAATTGACACTAAACTCAGGAGTTAAATCCTAAAAATGTATTTAGGTACCTCAACTATTAACAAAAATGTATCTTATTTGTGTATCACTCGGCTGTAGATCCTCAAATCATCTCTGAATTGGTGCTGACACTGTCCTTCCTTCTGGAGGGTGGCTACTTTTGTTCCCCATGGTCCCTGTGTGTGTTGTAAAGTAGTCAGCGCTCCAAGCTCACTCTGGTGATGGGATTACAATTACAATCTCACATTTAGTTTACTGGTTTGTATTGAGATTGTATTCCATCACAGGAGTGAGCTTGGAGCGGTGACTACTTTACAACACACACAGGGACCATGGGGAACAAAAGTAGCTCCCCTCCAGAAGGAAGGACAGTGTCGGCACCAATTCAGAGATGATTGGAGGATCTATAGCCCAGTGATACACAAATAGGAAACATTTTTGTTAATGGTTAGGGTATTAAATGCGTATTAGCGCTGTACCGTGTTTCCCCGAAAATAAGACACTGTCTTATATTTTTTTGGGCTCAAAAAAACACACTAGGTCTTATTTTCGGGGTAGGTCTTATTTTCGGGGAAACAGGGTACCTTTTGAGTGCATTCGCAGCCATGCGTTCAACACTGCTTGCTGGTGTCACACTTTAAGCCCCCATTCACACTTAGACATTTTGGGAACATGCATCAAATGTGCATATCCGAGGCACGCTTGTGTTGCCATCCCTAGTTAAAGTGACATTAAAGTCAAAAACTTTTTTTTCCTCCCCCAATGTTAATAAAATCACATTAAATGATGTCTCTTAATCCGATCTTCTTCTTCTTTCCTGTCCTTTTCAGCCTTCTCTCCAGCGCTGCGTCGTGTCTCCGATCCAGCGCTGACTCCTCTGTCCTTGCTAGCACTTCCTGTCCCACGGTGTCTGCATGCGGGTGCACGTGTCCATAGACTTACCTTGTGTCTCTCCTCGTCTCCCGGCCGAAAATCCGAACTGCGTCTGCCCCAAGATGCTTTGAGCATTTTTCGGATTTTCAGACGGGAGCGCGCGGCAAAGACGGGGTAAGTTTAAACCGCTGTTAAAGCGTTTTAAAAAAAACAACTTTTTGCCTATATCTACTGCTTGTTAGCAGTAGATATATGGGAAAAAAAACGGAGGGTTTAGAAACCCTTTAATGTAACAAACGGGCAGAAAACGCGTGCAACTGCGGCGCGCGTTCCCGGTACACTCATGTGCGAACGAAGTCAATACCAGTGTAAACTCCCTTTCCTAGAAGCAAGGAGATTTACAAAGAAATAGTGAAATGAAAAAACAATATTTAGGGCCCTCCTCACCCTAATGTACTGAAATTGTATTGTAACTGTACTGTCTACCCCATCTTGTAAAGCGCTGCGCAAACTGTTGGCGCTATATAAATCCTGTATAATAATCATAATATTTACGATACACAGTGAATTAGCAAACTGAAAGTCATTGAGTTAGTTTCTACAGCTAGTTTTTGCAAAGTGTGGCATCCCCTGCCAACCAATCAGGATTCAATCATCTTACGCCAATCAGCTTCTTAGTGATTTGACATCTGCTCGGTTGCAGTGCCGATTGCGCGTTGCTGTTGGTGCTGCTTTTATTGTATCATCTTGTGTGTGTGTTTGACCTGCTATTCGTGCTGTCAGCCTGCATTGTGAGTGTTTAATAATGCAGTCCTCCTTCCAGCAGAGGGATTGTTGGAAAGCCATTTGCTCGGTCAGCTCTGCTCTGCTCTCTTCCCCCCTCCACCTCCTCCTCCTCCTCCCCTCCACCTCCTCCTCCTCCTCCCCTCCTCCTGTCTTGCAGTCAGACAGGCTGAATAGTTAAACTGCTCTTCCTGTTTGGTGAGTCAGTCAGTTAGGAAATATGTTGCTAGTGCAGAGTACAGCTGTTTATAATCCCCATAGCTAGCTCCACGCCCTCTGGCCCTGAGCCTGTTTCTCGCTCTTTTGCTCGCTCTCGCTGCCTGTTAGATCTCTCCCCATTTTTTTTCCAATGTACTAACAACCTCCACTCTGATTGGTGTTATATTTGTCTCTCTAATTCTTCCAGCCAATTGAGCCAGGAGAGGAGCTGCTAGTCTGGTACAATGGAGAAGACAACCCGGAGATAGCAGCTGCTATTGAGGAAGAGAGGGCTGCAAGCCACCGGAGCAAGAAAAACTCACCCAAATCCAGGAGGGGTAAGGAGCTTTTAAAGGGGGGATCTGCGTTTGTCATTGAGAAGAGGGAGGGGGAGGGAGGGACAGGGGCTTTTCTTCCTGCTGTGCGTGTGGATGCGAGCTGTTTGGATGTCGCTGTGACCTTTCCCAGACTGAGCTGTGTGTGTGTGTGCATGATCACTCTTGCCTCAATCATATGATGAGTAGGTGCCAGCTCCGGCAAAGACTTCCCGGCGCGATCAGCCCCTTCGCCATCCGGCAGCGGGGGGGGGGGAATTAAAAAAGAAAAGGCTATTTAAAGGGAACGTCCCTTGTCGTCTAAATATATTTCAGCTGATCGGATGCCTTGCACCGAGCTACCTCGCTGCTTCTGCTTTGCAGGCGGTGAGCTGGCAGCGAGGTGTCATATTGACAGTTCAGGATCCTCGGTGACACGAGGGAGTCAGAATGGCATATGAAGTTCAGGCTGTGACGTTACGGCAAGACTGCAGGTTACACCAAAGCTCAGACAGCCATGCAGGACGATAGAAAAGAGGTATTCGGCATAAGGCGGATGGATTACATGCTTAGTGCTGCAGTCAGCCTACGTTGTACGCTTTATTAGCCTACCTAGGAGAACTCTCAGGATTTGGCCCTGAGCTAAAACAGTGGAGCAGTCTTCGGATCAGATCTCAGGGTCTTCTTTTCCTGCTCTTCATACTCAAAGCTTTAATTGTATCCCTTTTGTTTTGTGTTTCGTATTTCCTTTATACTTCTTTATAGTCCTTGAAGATGCAGATCTTTTCTGTGATGGCTTTGTCATCCACTTTAGGAACTACGATTGTAGATGTTCACAAGTTCAATCTGCCCAACTATTCTTATAATGGCCAGTAAGTTGTCTTTGTTGGATCTTTTAACTGGTTATAAGTCTTAGCCAGAGATTTGGCTGGTGTCGGGGTAGTCTGCAGAGTCTCCTCTCTTCCATAAATGTTCATGATTGTTAGGTGGTAAGATCATGTCTCAACGTCCGGTCTCCATAACATGGCCAGCTGGAATTTAGATATAGTAGATGTTTAATGGTAATTACCATCAAAAAAGTAGTAAGGGAAAACAAAGAATTATAAAATGGAACCGATGTTAAAATATCTTATCGTACTTATAACATCCTCACAAACAATGTGTCTGAACCCATGACCTCCGCTAGATCACGCCTTTACTGTCAGGGCAGTACATGCAGCGACAGAGCAGGAACGCTTTCATTGCATCATGGTAGCAAAGCCATTGTTTCATTTGTGGTTAAGACCTGATTATTTAGAACGTACAGGAACAAAAGTATCTACTGTTCTACTGTGCGATAGCTGGAGCAATGGGAACCATTAAATGTTGGGTTATTTGTTTGTTTATTTTGTGTGCTTTTATAAGATTTAGTTTGTAGTTGTTGACAAACTTTGCATCAGTTTTAGGATTTCTGTTCCGTTGTAGTTACAAATGGCTAACTTGCCGGCAGTTTGTGGAGATTCAAGTTTCCTTGCTTGCTGCTGAATGCCAGAAGTCCTGGTCTGCATACGTGTTCCAGGTCAGTGACTCAGAAAGTTTTGGGACCTTAGAGTCAGAATGATGGCTGGGCGTTTATAATTAGCATTTTCCAAAAGAGAGGTGAGAAATTGCAGCACACGTGCTTTTCTCATTTTAACTTTAAATTAAAAATGTCTTAGATATTGTCTAAATGTCAAAGGGGATCATAATTTAGAAAGTGAGCAGAACTAGAATGTTTAGAGAGAGGTCAGCAATGACAGCCCTGTATTGCTCTTCTTAAAGTGACAATGAACTCAGGAGTTAAATCCTAAAAATACATTAAAATACATTAAGTATTACCAAATTGTATCTTATTTGTGTATCACCCGGCTGTAGATCCTCAACTCATCTCTGAATTGGTGCCGACACTGTCCTTCCTTCTGGAGGGGGGCTACTTTTGTGGTCCCTCTGTGTGTTGTAAAGTAGCTAACACTCTCAGCTCGCTCCTGTGATGGACTACAATCTCACATTTAATTTACTACTGTGTATTAAGTTTGTAGTCCATCATGGCAGTGAGCTTGGAGCGGTGGCTACTTTACAACACACACAGGAACCATGGGGAACACAAGTAGCCCCCCTCCAGAAGGAAGGACAGTGTCCGCACCAATTCAGAGATTATTGGAGGATCTACAGCTGAGTGATACACAAATAAGATACATTGTTGTTAATAGTTAAGGTACTTAAATGCATTTTTGGATTTAACTACTGAGTTTAGTGTCACTTTAAAGTGGATCAAAACTCGTACTTTATGTGCGCATCATGTAGCTGGGGGGCAACAAAGTAGGGCTCAAAGTACCCATCAGCTTTATATAGAAGGTTTCCCACCGCTGTCACTTTCCAGAAGACGTGACCTACAGCTGGTTATTTTAGGTCATTGGTCCCCCCCAGCAGATCTGCATTTTGTGCAGCAACGTCTTCAACCTCTTTAACCAAAAGGCTTTGCTCACGTCTGAACACCAGTGCTCTGCTGCAGAAACCCAGATCTAAGGTGTCATGGGGACTGCAATTAACAGCGAGCGAGTATGTTTATTCTCATTTCGCTGCTGTATTCTTCCTTCATAACTCCGGCCTGATACGGAAAAGCAGATCTAACATCTAGCGTTTGACTGCTTTACCTCAGTACCTTACTTTGATATCTCGGTCAAAACATACCTACAGCTGAATCAGTTTTATCAATATTCCAGCTAGCTGTGTTCTTTCTATACTCACCCGTTATTGCCAGCACCATCTTTGGTGCCTCTTTCTTATAAGCTTCTCCGTCATCTTTTCCGATTGGAGATGCTGTTCCACTGAGGATGCCCACTAGGAACTTGTGCTTTGTACATTTCTGCAGCAGAAGCTGGTCTGTCTAGCAATAATTTCATGGAGAAAGTGTTTTGACTGCGCCCCACTACAATGATTTGCATTGGTAAAGACCTTGTGGCGTGTGCTGCTCCACAGATCATGCAGCAGAAGGATCGCACTTAGGTCAGTTAAACCTAAGAGCGAAAGTGTGATATATTGCAGCTTTCCAAGACCTCAGATGTAGTGGCTGCATTTTTCTTTTTTTTCCCTCAAACTTAGAACATTTTAACACGTACAGTAAATATACCTTACCATAAATACAGTGTCCATGTAGCCTCCTGTGAATTAAACTCAGATATCTATTCAACTAGCAAACAATGTTACCTTCCTACCAAGCTAACTTCTGTAAACTGCTAATTCCCCTACTCCCAAGGTAATGGATATGAAGAGGGGAAGATGTGCTTGTAGTTCTGTCCTGGGGTGACAACCCTGGCTGCCTACATAGATACAGTGGCGTAGAGAGCGGAGCCACCCAGGGACAGGAAGTATGTGATTTGCATGATTACCAGAAGAAAATAAAGGAAACAAAGTCTGAAAAAGAACATTACTGAGTGACTACATCTCAGGACTATTAAACTGCAATATATTAAATTTTTTTGTTTTTCGGGTTTTAGATACACTTTAAATATACCTAAATGGATCATTTAGTTTTCCCTATTATGCTGTCCTCCGCATATTCTGCCATTGGGGCCAGTCAAAGGCTTCACCGTCGCTCCACTTTAAGCTTCAGGTGTGACAGACACAATGCTCAGACATGTGGTCACCAACTACATTATCTGCTGCACAGATAACGATCCAACATTTGGGAGGCAACTGGTAAATAAATATTTAGTCCTGCAACGTATTAGCATCTGATAATAACACTATAGTAAGTTCATCCCTAAATGCAGGAACAAACAAACAAACAATACTTTTTGAGAGCTGAACTTTTTTGAACACTGTACAGACAACCATAAAACACGGGTCTTCCCTGATATTTTGGTTACAGGTGGAGTCTGGTGGGTTGTATCAGCCACGGCTTCTTATGTCTTCAATACTTCAACTGTGAGACCTCCTTGCCGTGATCTCATGCTCTGTTCCGGGCCAAATGGGAGTTCTTGGTGTTTCTACCCACCTTTTGTGGGTTCCAGCCATTTCTGTTACACTCTATAATGTAAAATAAATATAAAATTTAAAGTGACACTAAACTCAGGAGTTAAAGCTTAAAAATTAATTTAAAAAGTACCTTAACTATTAACAATACTGGATCTTATTTGTGTATCACTCGGCTGTAGATCCTCAAATCATCTCTGAATAGGTGGTGACACTGTCCTTCCTTCTGGAGGGGGGGGGGCTACTTTTGTTCCCCATGGTCCCTGTATGTGTGGTAAAGTAG